TGGACACTGCTACGTCTGCACCTGAACGTACAGATACATCTATAAGTGCAGGCGGAAGTGGGAAAAAAAGACGTGGTGAGAGAAGTAAGAATAAATTACCCAAGGAAATTTACAATGTGATTGCTCTCGATCAGGATGGGTAGCCCGTCGAGCCACCGATAGTGCGGTCCAAGTTTAGCAACACCTGTGGCACTCTAGTCAGGACGCGTTGTCCCATTAATGTCAAGTTATGGGAAACGGTGGACGACAACATCAAGACACTTCTCTGGAATGAGTTGCAGAAGTATTTTGTGTACCCTCCTAGATCAGAGGTCAGGGGAAGAGATTACGCACTTAAAAAGATGGGAGATCGATGGCGACAGTGGAAATCCGATCTAAATCGGGATTATGTTCAGAAGAATCTCCCACCGTTCACGGAATATGGACATATATCGCAGGCTGACTGGGATACGTTTGTTGCGGATCATACAACAGTTGAAGCATTGGCTTTGAGGAAAAAAATGTCCGAGCTCGCCAAGAAGAACAGATATCCCCATAGATTGGGGTCGAGCGGATACGCTGGGCACGTCGATCAATGGCGGGAGACCGAGCAAAGATTTACAGCGGCCAGCAAACCTCTGCTGGTAGACCCCATGGCGGAACGTGGCAAGAACTGGGTTTGGGCGCGCAACACAGATCAAGTCTCGGATGAGGGAGACATACTATTCGAGACTCCAGACATAGAAGAAGTGACTACTAATTTGCAGCAGATAGTCGAGAAAGAAAGATCAGGATAGTTCATCCCACGGAGGGAGCGAGACCATCTTACTGCGATGTTGGGGACCGCCGAACACTCTGGACATGTAAGGGGTTTGTCCTTAAAGACAAGTTGGAAGATAGGGTTTCCACAAGACGCACCAAGTTATAAGAAGAGAGACAAATACAAAAAACAACTATCAGACAAAATCTATGCGCAAGTGAAGGAACACTTCTACTCGTTGGCAGCTGAAAACCCGACAGCCTTTCCAAGGTTATTCCCTGATGGCCAGCAACCCACACAATCCGAACAACAAACAACTAATGTACCCAACAGTGTAGGCTCAGTGGAGACAACTCCCTTCCCTGTGGATAGTATAACTGGACCAACTCCGTGCAGTCTCATCGTACCTATCGGCCGCGCTGGAAAGACTAAGGAGGTTGCAACGGGTTTAGCGATACCCGGACGTCAATTCCACAACACGGCAATCCCTGAGGATTACGCAAGGGTACATGTCGCCAAGGTCCATAGCGACCACATTTCCTTGGAGCTAGACATACCTGCACCTGAGGGGATTGAACTTCTCGGTGATGCAGTGAATCAGTTTATCTTGTGGCACCGCAGAGACATAATCCTGACCGCGGCCATTCCAGCAGCAGGATCTTCAACTCCATCCTCATCGCAGGCAAGGAAAGCTTCCGCTCCTGCACCACCGTCACCTCCTGAACCACCGTCACCTCGACATCCGGCGTCACCACCACTGCTTAGGTCACTGCCTCACCAACCTACACCACCACCCTCCCCTTCTCAACAGCCTACTCTCCCGGCTCCGCAACCAGTTCAAGCCTCTCCCACCTCCCCACCTAAACAGCATGCCTCCCCTGGCTCTGCCCTCAGTTCAAGCCTCTCCACCTACACCCCAATCTGCTCTGGTAGAACAAGTGCACATACCAGAAGGTACTACATCCGAACCGAAGTCTAATCCTTTGGAACCTCATCGTATAATTCCAAAGTTGATATCGACATACGACCCAAAGGAGATTGACAAGGATAAGGAGAAGTTCATGTTTTCGGCTTTCAGGAATTCTGAGAAGAGAAAAGAACTTGCTCATGTCATGTCAGACTCCCAGAAGTAAGTACTAGCGACCCAAGATGAAGTGCAATCCTGGTTATCTGCCGATGTGCCTGAAACTTATGAGTATGGCAAGCCATTCTTGCCAACTTATCTTATGAACAAGCTACCATGGGAAATAAGGGTAATGCACGAATGGTATATCAAGGCATCTAGGAAGGGTCTCGGTTTCATAAGCGTCGCTGTCCTGGAAGGCGCTTTCATGAGTGGTCCTAATGGGATATTTTTTTATCTCTTTCCAAGACCTTTGCGCCCTCTACAAGCTAGATAAAATGGACGTTAATCTCGTTGCGGCGTTCTGTCTGTAAGTCCGAACTCTTTATTACATGTTACACGTATCATTCCAAACAAAGAAACCAAATCTCATTACTTCTTTGTTCATTGTACAGTATGCAATTCCACGAAGCTGATAGAACTGGAGCAAAGGTTGGATACGTCGATCCAACAAGAATATGCAAAACACAACACACCATAGAGCTGAGAGAGGACTGCGAGCAATTGGTTGGCAAGACCCCTCAAGAAAAGGAAGAATATGTGAAGACATTGCACAAGAGGAAGAAGCTAGAAGTAGCAACATACTTGGCAATAGCAATGTTGGCGCACGCCGACAAAGATGTCTTAATGGTCCCCTACGCATTCACGTAAGCTTTCTCTTCTTTTTGTTTAATTAATTTATCTTCTTCGGAATTTTCTGTCTCCAATAAGCCTATCTTATATGCAGAGACCACTACATATTATTCCTTATATATCCAAAAGACCAATTGATCATATCATTGGACCCCTCACACTATGACAAGGAGACATTTATGGAATTCCTCACTATTTTGAATTTGTAAGTGATAAACATTTCATTAATAACTACTGATAAATTGTTTAGGTCGATCCACAGTCTTCTAACTACTGATAAAACAATTGTTTTCTTCAAACAGAGCACACAAGTACTACCGCAAAAGAGGCGGACCAGTACATATTCTAGACCAGAAGCAGTTATCCGTCAGGACTGGCTGGCCGGTACTATCAAATCTATACCAATACAACTAATTATCAAACAATACATATATACTAAATTATATCTACTGAGATCGGTCCCTCATAATTATATCGTAGTGCTACAAACAACCACCGGGAACTAACTTGTGCGGTTATTACGTGTGCGAGATGCTCAGAGTAAACGGGAGGTACAAAACAACCAGTAACCGAGTAAGTCAGCGAACTCTTCTCTACAAAGAAACCCATCTAGCACACACTTCTCACAGAGTACCATTTCATTTTCCTTTCTGTGCGCAGATCCCCGAAATCCCATATATTGCACAATGATTCAACGACAGTACTATCTTGAACGTGGCCGCTAACCTCTGCCGATTCATCCGTCGCGATGCCTGCAACGTAAGAGGTCTCTTCTACGACAACTAGAGTGAACTCGCAATGGACGACAAATTTAAACCTCTCAGAGAGTGGGAGAAAGAACATATGCAATGACATGTACACTACTTATACATATGATGAAAAAACTGTGGCACTTTTATTATATATTTCGTATGTAAATTACGATTGAATTTATGGTTATGTATTACATGTTTGTTACTGTGGCACTTGTCTTATCTCATATGCTTACTATTCCGAAATACGATAATAAATCTCTCAATAATTTAATATTAATTACGAGACACATCTCACCAAAAGGCTAGAATAAATATTATTTTAGCTACTCGGAAATTGAATTTCGCATGCGGTCTACTTAAGACGGCCGCATGCGAAAATAGATCTTCGCATGCGGTCTTGTTAAGTCGACTACATGGGAAAATAGATCTTCGCATGCGGCTACTTAAATGGACCGCATGCGAAGATCTATTTTCGCATGCGGCCGTCTTAAGTGGCTGGGTCGGCCGCATGTGCAAATGGTGATCTTTGCAGACCATTTCGCGCATGCTGGCCGGCCAACCGCATGTGAAGATCGATTCCGCCCATATGCAAAAACACTTTCTATAGTAGTGTTTGTTGAATGACAAGAGAGACCAAGAGAAAGAGACAGGGGAGGGGAACAATTCGACCGAGGCAACAGTCACATTCATAAAAGGGATGGTGGACGTGAAGAGCATGCTTCCTTTCGAGAAAATTTCTTATATGCCATTGAAACTTCACTGGTTTCCTTATATACCATCGAAAAGTAGCTATTTCCTTCTATGCCACTGGGTGAAGTTTTTGTTCCCTTTTATGCCACTACCATCACCATTCTGTTAACCCTCTGTTAAATAGGCTTTGAAATGACAAGTTTACCCTTGATATTCTTCTTCAACATGTTATTTTCTCTTCTCTATCCCTGTCATTCGTCCAAGAGACGATGAGTCAGTTATTTTGGTGCTGCCATGAAGCGATAGCTTTTCTCGTTCTTTTCAATTGCAATATAAGCAAAGATGACACGTCGCCAGGAAGAGGGAAGGGAACAGGGTATCGGGCGGGAAGCCGCATCCCAAACATACTCCTCCTAACAGTTACTTGGTGACGGCAATGGCAATTGAGTGAATGACCAGGTCAAAAAAAAATGGCAAATGAGTGAATGAAAGCAAATGAGCTTAATTATATTGCCGTGCATGTGAAATGGATTAATCATTCACTTATTCAGGCTGTAGATGTCACCGGCGGCTATGCCGACCACTTCTTTTGTCCTTAATTTAATTTCATCCCTCGTACCAGATCCTAGAAAATATAATACTAATACTGTCACCCACATCCCATGAACATGTAGAGTTTTTTTTTTAAAAAAAATAAACAACCTCCCTAATCTCTGTAATAGCTTCAGTTAACACGTTAACGATCAGATCGATCGACCGCGCATGCAGTCGTGTATAGAAAAGTTCCATGCATGTTGTGATGTTGATAACATAACTTGGACGAATGACAGGGATAGAGAAGAGAAAAGAACATGTTGAAGAAGAATATTAAGGGTAAACTTATCATTTCAAAGCCTATTTAACTAAGGGTTAACAGAATGATGACGATAGTGGCATAAAAGGAAACAAAAACTTCACCCAGTGGCATAGAAGGAAATAGCTACTTTTCGATGGTATATAAGAAAACCAGTGAAGTTTCAATGGCATATAAGAAATTTTCTCCTTTCTTAAAGGATTGAAATCATAAAAAATGAATATTTATTTCCTGTTGCAACGCTTGGATATGTTTTAAGTATATATAGCAACAATTATTTTTGTATTTAAACTACACAGGAAATCTTAGGATCATAAGGAGCATCTTGACATGGGTGACCAACTCCCCACCAGCGCATAGCTGCTTCGCGTGAAAAGCAACACCACAGTTGTGCGCCATGTAACAAATCATCTCCACCCATACCGTCGAGATAAGGTCCCAGCGAGCAGCTGCTTCCTCCATTTTAAGCAATTCTGACGACACATCGATAGCATCACCAAGCACATCATGATGCCGTGCGGAAAGGAGATTCTCGACAAACTCACTCCGATCAACTGGGCGGTCTAAGATAACAGGCCACATCACTTGCTCTCGACTATAACTGAGACTGTCACGCTCGTATTTACTGACCATGGCTTTGCACTTGACGACGAGGTACATGACGTAATTTGACAACTCCCAGCTTGAGTTCGTCAACTTTTCAGCAACTCTAGTACTGTCGGCCTCTAGGCATATGTCGGTCACCAGGTGCCAAATAAAGACACTTGCCACAAAACCCAAATCTTGGATCCGACTAATCCAAAGTGCTCGTTGAGCTCTGGCACTTGGAGATGCAGAAGCCTGCTCCTCATCACTTGTACCAGCAGTAAACTCGAAGGGAGGAGGAGCTTCATGGTGGTAATACCTTTTGACCCACCGTTGTGCCCACTCCCCATGGAATCTGGTCAAGTCCAGCTTGTTTGCACTTGTTGAAGTGGCCCATATCTTGAGCATTTTATCAAGGATTAGCCTCTTCACATCGGTAGATACCTTGACAGGTTTGGTACTGCAGGCTCGCCCAATGCCCACGAGACGCATCACCCGTCCCAGCTGCCGTCCTGCTTTTTTCTCATGGATGCACTCGTCGATCATGTTATACTGTTGTAGCTCCCCTGACCACTCTATTCTGCTGCTTTCCGGATGGAGATGCTTTCTGGCAAATGAGAATTAATAATATATTACTTTCATAAAACACTTATTGTATAAGCAAAATATTTCTTTCTTGAGAGCTTTTACGGTGTTTGCATTCTAAAATTGGTAAAAATCTAACGGTCCACAATAAAAGGTACCACTTAAAAGATATTTAAGTATTGATATAAGTACTTTGGTAGTAAGTGTAAAATGATAATTTTTTAAGGGATAGAGAAGGGCATAATTGTCTTCTTGTCAGTTCTAGGTACACAGGTACTGCATCGGTACCTCATCTCTAGTATGCCCGTGATTCTCATTTTCGTTATTTACGTGTCCTAAAAAGATTTACATTTCCTTCCTAGGAACATGATCTTCGGTAATCCTCCATTACAAAATATACGTGTTTTTTCTTAGATTCACATCTTCTTTCTAAGAATATGATCGTGATATTTTTTAGGTTGATATTTTGTTTCTAATAACACAATTGGATAAAATATGACCGAATGTTTGTGTGGTTATTTTAAAATTTATATTTTATCACAAAGAACATATAACCTCAATAAAAGATCGTCGGTTTGTAGGTTCATATGTAATTCATCGTCAATACGCTATATTTACATGTTTGTTCATCTTTGCATATTCTCCCCCAATAACATGAACATAGATACTATAATTTCAAAGTACAAAGTCTTAAAAAAATATCAAAGTACAACATATGACAGTAAGTGAAGAAGGAAATTGATATGTTTTGTTGATCATGCAGCCATGTTGTTTTGGGCGAAAAAATGTGTTATTTTTTATTATTATGTTGATTAGGGTGCAATCGCTACAATTGAGGAAATTCTTTTAAGAATAAAATGCTTTCTCTTTAATTCTATAGTAATCAACTGTGTTAATTAGTGGGATCCTGATCTTGTTCTCACATCTTCGTTCCAAATATTTGAACTTGCTAGCTAATAACTTGCGTTACTCTTGTTAAGCATGCTAGAAATTAGGGGCTAATTTGACCATCATCGTTTCCAACTTAATCATCATACATGCATGAACACATGCTAAATTTAGTGGCTAATTTGGCTGCCACGTACGCTACCTTATATAGAAACATGCATGTCAACTTAATTATAAATTTGTGATACATGAAACAACACAAAAATACATTCAAATATTAGAAAATGATAAAATTTATTTTGGAGATAAAATGTATGGTATGGGAAGATTTACATTTTCGACCGAATGATACAAAATGTAACGGAGACAAAATGCCTCGGAAGATTTACAACTTTTTCTACCAAACAATAACGATCAATTCAGCTAGGTATTTGATTAACCCAAAATACTCATATTTTACAAGTTAATTACTTCGCTGCCATCGGTTACAATAACTTTTATTCTGTACCTTGCCCCTCTCTTGATCAACGGTTCATATTGTTCTATCTCTCAATACTTTAAGTACCTCGCAAACACTGCAAAAGCTCTCTTCTTTTATAGAAGGAAGCAAGGAAGGAAGGTTCAATATTGTGTGTATTTCCTCTTTTTTCAATGATCTATAACCTCTACTATATATATAATAACTGAAAAGGCCAAAATTGAACTAATTAATTTGGGAGTACCGTAAAAGATTCCATGTTGAATATGAAGACATGAGCCACAGCAAGACAGATGATATCTCCAATGTGAAAGCGCCGACAAGCAATATGTAACATATCGTTACGTCAGCTATATTGTAGCTGCTCCCCGCCTTGAGATGATGATCAAGCCTGGATACAAGAAACAGAGAGAGAGCAATACAGTTTAGGGCGAGCGTGGTGATGCGGCACAATAAACCCACCACGAGGCCGCCTCCGAACTTGGTGTAGAAGTAGTCGTATATCATTGAGAGATGGATGTCGGCTAACTTGTACGCCATGTCAACTAGGCTGTCTAAAGGTTCACCACCACCCCATAATTCTGTTCCCCCTTGATACCAGTAGGCTGGTCTTGGAGGGATCACGTCCATCAAGAAGTCCAAGCCTAGCCTGAAGCCCTTGGTGGCCACCTCCACGATTCGCTCGAAATTCCTCTCCTGCTCATCTGAAATGATGGATGACAGCTTGCTGTAGTAATCAGTGGAGTGTGTATTGAAATCGTACTCGGCGCTTGGGGCATAGAACTCCATATCACTGCTCTCCAGCGATGTTGATTGGGCCCTCCTGAGTGCCCATATTCTCTCGGCGTATCTGGTCGTCCCGGCAACGAACATGATCGCTGTGGGAACCGCCAGCCACTTGTCACCTCTCCACTGCTTGCTGACAACGTAGATTGCCATCAGCATTTGGACGGTAAGGGTCAGAAGGTGTCGCTTCCATAGCGCGCAGTCCTCCATGGAGAAGGCCGTGATGGTCTCCTGCCCGCCGAGATGGAGCAGCATGAAGGGCGCCCAGAAGAGCACCAGCCGATGCTGCTGCTGATTGTCACCCAAGAGCGTGAGTCGCCCGAGGACAAAGACCGCCACAGAGTCGGCTGACAGATAGGCGAGCCAGAGTAGCACGCTGAGCACACGGGACCGGCAACGCTTTCGGAAGACTGCGGCGAAGAGGAGGAACACCTGCAAGGAGAAGCTCACCACCACCAAGCATTGGATCTCCCAATCATTCCAGAGTTGTTGCGCATGCGTTACCAAGCTGCAGTTCCAATTATTAGTATGCAAATTAAATATAATTCAATTTACTAGCACGTACCATATATAGAAGATTACATATAGGAAAGATACGTCCGTCCACTGGATCAAAAAATACCCTCTTTATTAGGTGGCTAAGAAATTTTCTTCTTTGGCAGATGCATGGCACAAGTACAACAACACCACCAATGAAATGAATGAATGTACCGTTTAGACCCTAAGCTAATCTAGTCAAGTGTTATGAGATTTGGTAAGCCAACTAGATAATTATGTATCTGTCAAAACTTTACTACTGTAATATAAGCTAGCGCACATCGATTCTTAATTTGATTTCAAGGTACTACGTACGCGCAGTATCTCGATTCTTAATTTGAATTCGTACCTGTGGTGATCAGCCGCGGGAGGGTGGCACCTCTGCTGTACGCAGACGACGCAGACTTGATTGTCCCCCATACATATATTTTGCTGCTCGCTGCAGTTCGTACGTAGCTGATCACCGATTAGCAAGACTCGATCGGAGGGCGATATGATCTGCTAGCTAGCTAGCTTAGTTCCGATCCTGTCATTTATATATTTCTTGCGTATTGTTGTTATTCTTTGCTTGCTTTGCAGCACAAGCCACAAGCCGGGAATTGATTCTAGTGTGCACGCAGGGTGCAGGCTGTTAAAAGATTAGAAGAGTAAAGTGTATGGGCGGTCCTTAAACTTATAGGGATGTGTCATATAGGTTCCTAAACTCTCAAAATGCATATCCAAGTCCTAGAACTTGTCATAATGTATCATCTAGGTCCCAAATCATCACAGCTCCTATAGAATCATACGTGGCGCTGATGTGGCATGCCACACGGACAAGACGTGGCATCATTTTGACTAACAAATGAAACCCATTTAAAAATTTTCCCTTTTTTTCTTCTTTTCTTATCTTTTTTGTCTTCTTCTCTTTTTTTTTCTTTTCTTCTCCTTTCTATGTGACCCGAATAGAAGGAAAAAAAAGAATGAGAAGAAAACGAAAAAGAAAAAGAAGAAAAAAGAAGGAAAAAAAAGAAGAAAATGACATGTCACGTCCATATGGCATGCCACATCAGCGCCACGTATGATCCTATAGGGGCTGTGGCGATTTAGGATCTAGATGACACACTTTGACAAGTTCTGAAATCTGGATATACATTTTGAGAGTTTAAAAACCTAGATGACACAGCCCTACAAGTTTAAGGACCGCCCATGCATTTTACTCAGATTAGAATATATCTTTGATTCATTCTCAGTGTATATGGTACTACGTAGGATTGTATAGCAAGTCCATCATCCCTTACCGTTCGTGTATTCTTTTCGGAGCCATTCATCCGGTGATCTATAAGATACACGGCCAGGCATAATTGTTCTTCGTGCTGCCACTCAATCTTTCCCCTACGCACAGGACAAAGCGGATTTGCTTTCTTGTTTGCGCTTTGCTTGCAGTTGGAAGCGATGCACATGGTTCTTTTGTCGCCGAAGCTAAGCTCCGCAGCTTTGTCAGGGAAGAAGGTTGGCTGTTGAGGGTCACATTTCCTCTGTGTTTCATTTTGGGCCGAATTGGGTCACTACCGATCCATACTTTGGTAGGCTTAACAGGCCATGTACCGACCCAGAACTCAGTGGGCTGGTGACATTGCGTCAGTACTTCCAAACTTTGTTTTGTGGGAGAAATAAGTTCACTTTAGGTTCCTCATCCTGACGTCAAGTTTGAATTATATCCCTAACCACAATACCAGATATAATGCATCCCTCATCTTTCAAAACTAGTACGAATATAGTCCCAAAGTAGTATTGTAGGTTGTTTTGGCTGACGTGGCGCCATAAGCAAAAAAAAAAGCAATAAAAAAAACCTTGTGTGCCCCACATGTTAGTGATACAACGTTCTTCCTCCTATCTCACCCTCTGCCCTCTCTTTCCCACCTCTATCGAGTTCTCTAGCACGCAAAATCGACAGGGCGGTAGTTGGTGGGGAGAAGGGCGATAGCCGGTGGAGAGAAGCTAGGCGGTGGCGGCAACTTCACCGAGTTCGATAATAAAAAACATTGTATTTGTATTGGTTTTTTTTGAAAAAAAAAGGGACACGTTATATCTAATATTGTGGTTTACGATGTAATTCAAACTCAATGACAAGATAAAGGGACCTAAAGTGAACTTATTCTTGTGTGGGATGCTACAAATTGGGTGGACTGAACTGGGCCGCTACAAATTGTAGTGGGTCAGTTTCCTCGAAATGGACCAGACCTTTGTGGGGTTGGACGCTGTAATATTTAATAGGAATAAGTTCAACAGAGGTCCCTCAATTTAACAGCGAGATTTTTAAGGTCCCTTAACCACAAAACCAGAAATCTCCACCTCTAAACTATACAAAACCGTTCACTCAAGGTCCCTAGGCAGTATATATGGGTGGTTTCACTGACGTGGCATCCTAGTCAGTAAAAATAATTAAAATTAATATGTGGGGCCCACATGTAAGTGAGACAATAGTGTGGGTCCCACATTTCTCCTTTTTTTTTCCTTTTTCTCTTCTCTTCCCTCTGGGTTCTCTCGAGCATGCGCGGCGATAGAGGGGGAGAGAGGTGGCCGGTGGCGGATCGGGGACGGCGGCAGCGGGAGAGGGAGAGAGAGGCGGTCGGCGGTGACAGCGGCGGCGGGAGAGGACAAGAGGTAGCGGCCGGTGCGACGGCGAACTCGGCAGCAGAGATGTTCAAATGCGCCGTGTGCTCGACCTCGGGCCCCGCCGCCGGCGGGCAGCGCGCTCCCCCCGTCGACCCTCTCTCCCTCCCTCGCCTACTTGTCGTCTGCCTCCTCTCCCTCCGCCGCCAAGCTCACCACGTCTCCGCTACTCCGTCCGTGGCTGCGCTCGCCCTCCACTGCTCTGCCCGCATCCACGCTCGCCTGCCGCCGCTCCGCCGCCGCGCTTGCCCTCCGCTTCTCTGCCCGCGGCCGCGCTCGCGCTCCACTGCTCGGCCCGCCGCGCTCGCGCCCACCACCGCTCCGCTGCCGCGCTCGCCCTTTGTTGCACCACCCGCATCCGTGTGCGCTGCTCCGCCTACCACGCTCGTGGAGGAGATCGACCAGCATGATGACGACACCGGCGGTGAAGAGCTGGAGCATGAAGAGCGTCACCGCTCCGCCTGCCGCCCATGACTCGCTTCGCTCGCTGTCACTCCGCTGCCGCTCTTGCTCGCCGCCCCGCATGCCGCTCTCGCATGCTGCCCCGACTCCCGCTCCTGCTATCCCGACCGCCTCTCTCCCCTTCTCATCCGCCGCTACCTCTCCCCTCCCCTCCCCCTCTGGCTCGACTCGCGCGCACCTCTCGCCATGCGGAGGAAGAGAGAGATGGCGACGGGCGGAGGGAGAGGGGCGGAGTCGTCGGCGGCGCCGTGGGTGGAGTCGACGGCGCGGCCCACCGGATTTGGGGCGGTGAAGAGGAGCGGAGGCGACGGGTGGTGGGGTGGAGTTGGCGGTGCGGTGGTGCGGAGGCGGCGGTGGCACGATGGGGCGGAGTCGAAGGCGGCGTGGTGGGGTGGAGGCATTGTGGCACGTGGGGCGAAGTTGACAGCGTCGACGACCGGCGCCGCTGTCGGGCCGACGACGAGGACGCGCCGCCCGCCGCGCCCGCTCCGTCCTGGCTGACGCGCCCGCATCGGCCCACTTGCTCCGCGCCGCCCGCCTGCCGCGCTCGTTTGCCTCCTGCCGCCGGCCTCCCTCACTGAAGAAGAGAAGAGAGAAGAGAGAAAAGAGAAGAGAAGGAGAAGAAAAGATAATGTGCAGTTGACATGTGGGCCCCCACGTACTTTTTATTTTTTTTTTTTCTGACTAGGTTACCACGTCAACGAAACCACCCAAATATACTGCCTAAGGACCTTGAGTGAACGGTTTTGTATAGTTTAGGGGTGAAGATTTCTGGTTTTGTGGTTAAGGGACCTATTTAATACCTTTCATTAGAACCACACGATTTCAATCCAACGTTTCGGATGGCGTTTCGGATGGAAGTTTGCGCTTCCAAGAGGCGGCGAGAGATGGGAGAGGAGGCGAGCAGCGGCGCACGCGTGGAGCTCGAGATGGGCTTTAAGGTGTTGAGCGTTTTGCTCCAGTGGGCATCGCTGATCAGTTGCGTCGTTCAACTGGACGAACACCCCTTCATATGTGCTAAAATGGCACCTATAGTCAAAGTCTTGTACTGAATTCGTCCCATTTTGATTTGCAGAAATTTACAGCGATTGAATTTCGTTGATCGATCGAGAGGAGGATTTTACAGTGGAAGGGTTTTCCAGCCGGGCTTACACATGATGAAAGTCACGAACCAAACACAAAACACCTTCTTGATTAATTAATTAATTACGATGAATTCGTTTAATTAGCTAGGTAATGGTGCGTCCGCCGTCGACGCCGACGACCTGGCCGGTGATGTAGGAGGCCGCCGGCATGCAGAGGAACGCCACCGTCGCCGCCACCTCCTCCGGCTCCGCCAGCCGCCGCATCGGCAGCCGGTCCATCTCGCTCTTGATCAGCTCCGGGTCTATCGTCTCCTGCTCCGGCCATCCACCGAAATTAATCAATCAAAATCAATGATGTGATTAATCACACTAATTCTACCATTAATCATGCACTAATTATGTACTAGTAACTGAGCTGGAGATCAACTGACTGAGCTGGTATATACTCCCTCAGTTTTACATTATAAGTCAGTTTTGTCTTTGGTCAAAGTCAAGCTGTTTCAAGTTTGATTAAGTTTATAGAAAAAGATTAGTTACATTTTCATCCAAAAATAAATATATCTCTACTATTATAAAAATTGAAGATGTTTTCGCCGTTGTTCCAGTAGGTTATTTGTGTTTGAGTCGGTTTTTAAGTTTGTTCGTTTTTAGAAATACAAATCTGTGTTTGAGTCCTTTTGCAAGTTCGTTCGCTTTTTAAAATACAGAAGATATCTTATAAGAAATTTCTTTAAAAAAAGTCATGCTAGAGAGTCAGACTCCTATTTATAGCCCATGATTTTCTTAAAAAAAAACAAGTGAATTCCCACGATGATTTTCACTCTAGCTAAACCGTAAAACAATAATAATAATAATAATACTAAAATAACCTTCATCCGTTGCAACGCACGTGTATTTTGTTCTAGTTTAATTATAAATTTAATAAAACTAATTTGGTGTTGTAAATATTACTATATTTATCTATAAACTTAATCAAAATGACGATTTATAATCTGTAACGAAGGGATTATTTAGCTTACGTCTTGGCAGATGTCAGTCTTGACGCCTCCCGGCGCGACGCAGTTGACACGTATGCCGTCGCCGGCCCACTCGGCGGCGAGGCTCCGGGTGAGCTGGTTCATGCCGCCCTTGGTCATGGAGTACACGGCCAGCGCCGGTATGCCGACGGTGCCGGCGACGGAGGAGATGTTCACCACGCAGCCGCCTCCGCCGCCGGCGGCGAGCAGGAGCGGGTGCGCGAGCTGGGAGAGGTGGAAGCAGGACTCGAGGTTGGTGGCCACGAGCAGGGCGAAGTCCTCGCCGGAGCACGCCGCCGCCGCCCGGAACATGGTCCGGCCGACGTTGTTGACGAGGATGTCCAGCCTGCCGCCGAACTCCCCCGCCGCGGCGGCGACCAGCCTCTCCCGGTCGCCGCGCGCGGAGACGTCGCAGACGGTGGCGGTGACGCGGAGCCCCCGCTCCTCCCACCGCCGCCGGCTCGCCTCCAGCTCCGCCGCGTTCCGGGCGCACGTGTGCACGCGCGCCCCGAATCCGGCGAGCTCCTCCACTATCGCATGCCTGTATACGTAGGTATATACGCTCGTATTATACTCGTATATATACGGTGATGTATATAGTTGCGTGTATATACCCGATGCCTTTGCTGCCGCCGGTGACGAGCGCCGTCGCGCCGGCGAGGGTCCACCGGTCCGGGATGCTGCGAGCTGCGGCGGCCGCCATGATCGAGCTTGGTGTTTTCTCTCTCTTCGCCGGCGTAGCTGAGTGCTTTGGGATGGATGGATTGTAGACACATGTCCGTATACATATTTATACTAGTAGCTCGCACGTATAGCAGCTTTAATTAACTAAAGCGGTGCAGAACTAGTCGTCGTTGAAAATTGATTACAATAAAGATATACTTGCTGTTCCTTCGTTTTATATAGAAACTTTTTTAAGGAAAGCATACAGTTTAATAGTTTCAAAAATGTGCTAATGGAAAACAAGATAATTGAAGTTTAGAGCTGAAGAATAGATCGAGAACTAGTCATTTCGATTTTTCTTATAGTAGCTTACAGAAAAGTAAAGCGACATTATTTCGTCAACACAAAACAAACATATTATCAAAATATATTCAATATTACATTTAATGAAACTAATTAATTTGGTGTTATAGAAGTTATCAAATTTTTCTAGAAACTTATTTAACCTAAATAAATTTGACTTAAAAAATTAAAATAATTTATAGTATAAAACCAAGGAGTATATAATAAGCTAGTAGTTGTTCATCTGATGGATGGATACGTGCGGATCATATGCAGCAAAAGAAGGCGGCGACCGGCCGGCCGCCGGCCAACACGATCGCCGGCGGGTGCAAGCGGCGACCGGCCGGCATGCCGGCGTATAAACTGGAGGAATATATACTTTATTCAATATTTATTATCGCATAGAAAATATAAAGTGATATTCGTATGCATGCATGCGGTGCACTACCGTCGTCGTCGTTGAGCTATCATGCTCACGTGTCATTTCTTGTCAACTATACCTCCCATCTCTAATCTCATGATCTCTTCTAAAATATATTTATATCCGTGTAGCTAGCGTATGCATTTTTCTATCCATCTACTCCCTCCGTTTAATTAAGAATGTAAGGTGTTTTGGATTTTTTCACTAAGTTAAACTATTTTATATTTAACCAAGTTTATGGAAAAAACATGACGCTTATAACATCAAACTAATTTCATTTGATATACTGTTAAATATATTTTTATAATTAATTCTTCATTTGTCTGATGTTGTTATATTAGTTATAGACTTGGTCAAATTTAATGAAATTTAACTTAGAGAAAAGCTAAAACACCTTACGTTACAAAATTAAAGGAGTACTTTATGTTTGTTTTCTTCACTTTTGCCCAGGTTTGTTCTAACTAGAAAAAAAAACATGCTTAACAAAATGGATTGGAAATTTATGTATTGTTGATTATACTATGAGTCTAGATTATATACCGGTGTAGATATACTCAAAATGGTTAAGAAAGAAAAGATTAAAAAAGTTTCCATGGCGATAAATGTCCTCAAAGTTTCAGATGCATATTAATATGGCCCTCTTGACACAGCTGACGCACAATGCTAACGAGACGACAGAGAAGCGATGCATGTGCCGGTACATCGGCCGAGATGCCTCCCGTAAATCATGATCTACTCATACATATATACTCCGTACTTCATATATATCACTGGTGGAGAAACCATCTTTGGTCGGTCGACCAGATTTCACAATAGTCCCGGTTATATTAAAAACCGCGACTAAAAATATCTTTAGTCCCGGTTTTAAAGCTCTAGGGGTACTTTCCAATCTTTAGTACCGGTTGGTGTTACCAACCGGGACTAAAGATCTATTTGTAGTCCCGGTTGGTAACACCAACCGGGAAAAAAGATCGCTATACACTTTACTCCCGGTTGGTATTACCAACCGGGACTAAAGATCTATTTATAGTCCCGGTTGGTAACACCAACCGGGAAAAAAGATCGACGCGGAGATCGGAGAGGCCTGCACGATATCTCCTCCTCTCCTTTTAACTCCTCCCTCCTCCTCTCCTCAACCTTATCTCCTCCTCTCCTTTTAACTCTCTCCTCAACCTTATCTATTCCTCTCCTTCTCCTCTCTACACTGCAGCGGTGCGGCGAGGGTGCCAGGCCGGCGCGAAGCGGCGGGGCGCGGAGGCCAGGCCGGCCGACGCGGCGGCGGCCGCCGGCGGCCTTGCGGCCGGCGCGAGGGTGGCGAAGCGCGGAGGGCGGCGCGGCGCGCAGCGATGCGGCGGCCGCCGGCGCGGCGCGCGGTGAGACGGTGGCCGCCGGCGGCCTGCGGCTGTGGCCTGGCGGCCGGCGCAAGGGTGGCGCGGCGCGTGGCAAGGCGGTGGTGGCCGGGCGCGGCGGTGGCGGCGGCGAGAGGCGGTGGCGGCGCGGCGCGGCGGCAAGCCGGGCGGGAGCCGTGGCGGCGGCCGGGCGGGCGGGCGTGGCGGCAAGCCGGGCGGTAGCAGCGGCGCCCGGCAGGAGCCGCGGCGGCGGGCGGGCGTGGCGGCCGAGCTGGCGCAGACGCCGAGAGGACGGGGACCGGGAGGCCGGCGGCGCCCTCCCATCTGATGCCGATTTTTTTTTTTTGATTCTGTGTTTCATTGGATTTGATCTGTGATGTATGTGATATTGGATCTGATCTGGGATGTATTTGAGTTGTGATGCATTTCTTTTAGGATTTGTGATGTATTTTTCGTTTGAGATTTGGTGATGTGATGTATTTGTGATCTGTGATGCATTTCTTTGCAATATGTGCTGTATTTCTTCCCAAATCTGTGATGCTTGTGGATGATTTGGGATATTTAGGGAGCAAATCGATTGAGCAATGAAACAACAACAAAAAAAAAAAAGAATCAACCAGGACTGCTCCACCATTTTTAGTCCCGGTTGGTAATACCAACCGGGAATAAAGATGGATTTTTAGTCCCGGTTATTTCACCCGGGACTAAAGATGGGTATTTTTAGTCCCGGATTCGTACTCCCGGTTGTATAACCGGGACTATAGGGGGGTTTCTAACCGGGAGTAAAGCCCCTTTCTCTACCAGTGTATGCTGACCTTACGTACGCATATACGTATATATATACTATGGCAACTTGTGTGGAGTTGTGGTACAACTACCTCCGCTGGCACCGCTCGGATTCAGAGGTAGGTACGATCATCAACTACCTAGCTAATTTATTTTTTCGAGTACAAATGGAACCTAAACACGCACACATATATCATGGCCGTTACATAGGTAGCTCGCCCGGGTACCGAGAATTTGTTGTCACCTCGTGACATTAATCCAGAAAAATACGAGGACCACACTCACACAATCAAGCCGGTTACACGGTTTACCGCTCTATAGTGTAGAACCGGCACTTATAAAATTTTCTTAGGATATAATAGCAGTTCTCAGATACTGGCTTATCTTCATTATCAATGTTTCTCGACATCTTAAGGTAACCGGAAAATAGACATCCCTGTAGGAAGAGAATATCAAATTGATTGAATAAAAGAACCCCCATAATTGTTTAAAAACCGACCCTCACTATTACCATTCAATTTTTTCACGTGGTCAAAATTGATTTTTGCATGCGGACGGGCGACCCATATGCACCCAAAGGTATGTGAAAATCGGGATTTTTGCATGCGGCCAGCACAACTGCATGCAAAAATCCGATTTTCGTATGCAGGCGCTTAAGCCGATCACATGCAAAAAGGAAAAAACATGAAAATTTTTTTTCCAAAAATTAGAAAATGTTTCGAACCCTAGAATCCTCTTCATTGCGCTGCCGTCGTCCTCGTCCTCTAGTCGCCGCCGCCATCATCCTCATCCTCCAGCCACCGCCGTCGTCAGCATCGTCCTCCTCCCGTTGCTACCGCCGATGGATCCACGCGGGGAAGGGCGGCGGCCGCCGGATCCGGGCAAGGGAGAGACGCCGCCGTCGGATCCAGGAGGGGGAGGGCTGCCACCGTCGGATCTGAGCAGGGAAGGGCCGCAATCGTCGGATCAGGGTGGGGGAGGGCCGTCGCGCACACCTGCCCCCGCCGTGGTCCTCTCCCGCCACCGCCGTCGGTGTCCGCGCCCGCCGCCCTCGCCCTCCATTGCCGTCACACGAGAACGCCCTCCGCCACCACCCTCGTCCGCCACCATCGCACGAGAGTGAGGGCCGCCGGATCCACGCGGGGCGACACCATCCGTCTCCTCAACGGCAGCACTCGGCGTTGCCTACTCCCACTCGGTGAGGACAGAAAGAGAAAGAGAGAGGAGAGGAAGAGAGAGAGGGGACGAGGTGAAAATTTGAAGTGTTGAGAAAGAAAAGAGAGAGAAGGGGTGAAAAAAATATGTGGAGAAGAGGACGGTATTTTTGCATGCGGACCACTTAAAAGGTCTGCATGCGAAAATCTATTTTTGTATGTGGCCCCTTAAGAGAACCGCATGCGAAAATAAACTCATTTTTGCATGTGGCCCCTTAAGAGGCCTGTATGTGAAAATCGATTTTTGCATGTGAGTCTCTTAAGGAGCCGTATGTGAAAATGGAGATCGATTTTTGCAGGCGCGACCAGTTACGGTCCGCATGCAACCTATAAACATTCTCGTTTAGAAAAATCGTTTTTAAGTAGTGACTTATGTAAGATTATAACTGTCACTTCTAACCCAGCACTATGGGGCTGCTAACGTATTTTTAGAAGCATAATAGGTGATGGTTCTACAGTAGAACCGACACCTATGATCTATGATCTTTTAAAGGGGTGCCAGTATTATAGGTCTAGCACTAATGACTCGGGTCACTAGTTTCATATCGGCCCCAAAACCAGCACCTAAGAATATTTTTGGGCCTAGCACTGATATGTCTTCGTGAGATTGTGTTAGATTCCAGTACCACAATCACACAGTAGCTAGAGCGCTAGTTTTACCACTGCCTAAGATTAAATTCCATAAATCAACCGTGTGCTTTACCACCTTCGGAGATTTATTATTATTAGAAAAATATTAGTACCACACTCCAACAGTATAGCCTGACATTAATAAAAATAAAGTCTAGTACTTAAAATTGGTACTTAAAATTGGATGGACAGTTTGCACTCGACTACTACAAGGATCCTTCCTACAATTGAACTATGATTTTGTTCGTGGAATATATATCAAGATAGACATAAATATAATCATGAATATCATATTACAATATCTTTGAAAAGTATCTACTTTTTTAAAAGTGATAGATGGGCTAATTTCCCCCCCAAAATTAGAAACTTATGTATGTGTGTCT